AGGCTATTAAAAAGCAAGGAGAGGTTGTCAGGAAATTAAAAGAGCAAAAAGCTAGCAAGGACCAGGTCAGTATGGGCTCTTCAGACCTATTATTTTATTATAGAAACCACATTTCGTAACATTAATTTTGATTAAGCTTAGTGAAGCCAGCAAAGGAAGGGGTGGGTTCAACGCTGTCATAGAATAGAGAGAAAAATGAAAGGCCTGGGTACTTGAACCACACGGTAGGACCGTAAAAGTCTAATTAAACACAATTAACGGTGCAGCGTGCACATAGCTAATTGTGCTCTAATACGCGTCATTGCAATCTCCGTAAATAAGGCGCTCACGGTGTTTTTAGAAACAATGTTCATGCCTGGTTTGAGAAGAATTGCCGCAAAGTCCTTCTCACATAGAACTGCTCTGCGTCCATTATAAAGAGACATGTATTCATATTTGTTGCTGAATTGAAACCTTTCGAGGCTTGTGCGGGGTAGTTCCTTGCGGTACAGTACTGCATCCCTTTTTGCCCGGCTGATGCAATCAGCTTGTAAGGTCCGTGGCTGCTTTGTCTTACATAGAAACTGAAAGTTAACATTGCATATAAATAAATTAAAAAACGAGTTCCTTATGCTTCAAAGCACGGGTATACAGGCTATACATTTTATTTTTTTTGTCGGGTGGGATCCGGTGAGGGAGTTCATTTTACCTTTATTTTGGCAGAGCCTGACAATATTACGTATGTGCAGTAACTGCTGGGGTGCCTATGGGCTGAACTGTCGTAGCCCGTTAGTATTGTAAGAAACTTTGGCGGTCTGCTCGTTTTACATAGAAGGCTTCTGCCCTGGGTCTGGTGTTTGGGTGCATATTGCAGTGTTATCCGAGTGACCCCTCATTAAGCACACCGTTCTGTTGAAGTGTTCCACTGTCCTGTGCGAGTCGGTTGATTTTGACTGTTGCTCCCCCTCCATGTTTTGCCTCCACGGTGATTCTGCGGACTCGCGTGCTAGGGTTGCTGACCAGTTTTCTCCTGTTCTCCCTGCACGTGCCACCCGGGCCTCCGCACCGACTGCCCTCTGCGCCCGGCCGTCGCCCTCGCATAAACCGTATACCGGACCTCTTTTTGTTTTTCCTGGACGACACTTTCACTTTCCTGGGGGAAACGCCTGGGATGAATTAACGCGGGGGATTATTTTTTTTTTTTCTGGCCCTCAACTCATTTCCGGACGACCATGAACAAATTGGGGGCGTTTTCTGTTCGACTCTGGTCGGGACCTCTTGTTCACCGGTGTGGTCCGTTCCCTCGTGTTCTGCGTGCGGTGTCCTGCAACCCTAACACACAGGTATGCTGATGGGGGGGAGGGGATACACATTATAGAAACAGCACTCCACGGTGGCACAGTGGTAAGCTTTGCTGCCCCACAGCACTGGGGCCCTGGTTTCAGTTCCAGACCCAAGGTGCTGTCTGTGTGGAGTTTGCATGTTCTCCCTGTGTTTGTGTGGTTTACCCCTAAGTCGAACGGCTTCCTCCCACAGTCCAAAAACATATTGGTAATTAATTGGCTTATGGGAGTACTGGCCCTAGGTGTGCATGTCTTTGTGTCCTGTCCAGGGTATATTCTGGCTTGTCCCTTTTACCTGCTGAGATAGGCTTTCTCTTCCCTGCTACCCCGAATTGGAAGCAATGGTTAAAAAATGGCTGGAGAGATAACCTCATGACACCCTTTTTACTCTTTTGCAATGCCCTGTACATATTGTAGGACCATTTCATCCAGTATATGATTTTGATAGTAAACATTCAAATGAATTAGAATCAGATTAATAAGTTGCATTGTTCAGTGTCAACTTAGCGTTTGAGCTATCAGGCAG